TGCCTCCCACTAAAAATTATCCCTCCCCTTTTAAAAAAAAAAAAAAAAAAAAAAAAAAAAAGCAGTATTCTGACATACTCAGTCAAGTACTGAATGCAGTCTGGTATAATCAGACTCGATGCAAGTCACAGAACGATGCAAAATGCCCTCTTGCTCCATACTGAACACGACTGGCTTCTAACAAAGCAATTCACTACATAGCTGACCTAAATTACTGCATTGTTTTTAATTAAATGAATGCAGTATGCAAAAAAAAAAAAAGAATAATTAAGTGCTTTGTGTAAGCTCTGAACTCTTTCAGCATGATTTCCCCCCAACATCAGCCATTTTGCCATTTCGATCTGCCAATGGGAAGGGAGTCCGTTTCATGAACAAGCACGTTTTGCAAGATACCACCTACTCGTTTGCAAACTGTGCTTTTTAAAAAATTAGATCACCTTTATCCATTACCTATGCTCACCTCTGACCTACTGAGGGCCTGGCAGACTCCCAGGCACACCTAAACACATCACCTGTTCTGCTGTTGTGGCGACAAGTGTGACCACAATATTTTGGATTATTTGCATACTTGGAGTGACTAAGCAAACATATCCTCTGTCATTCATCCTTTGCCAATGAAAGAGAGTGAATCTGCAGATAGCTATTTGCAATTACATTTTTGAAAGAACCGAATCCAGCCAGTATTCATGTTACATTTCTAGATGGAACAAGTAAAGAACAAGTAAGTTGCCCTAGCAAAATATTAATTAGAGAGACTGTGTATTTGCTTGAAGTGAAGGGGTCTCATTAAACTTTTCTGTATAAATAACGAATGGAGTTCTAGTAAATTGCTAAATTAAAACACATTTTCCCTAATTACCTATCTGTAGAACTATTACTAAAACAAAGTCAAGATTCTTTAACTTTTAATAAAACCTGTTTTTTGCACCTGTAGCATCAGAGGTGAGTCTTACCAATAACTACATTTTAAAAGTCATGCCGAGCAGCCAGTCAAAACCAAGTTCCAACATCGCTCTGCATTAATTGAAGCTGCAGTTATAAAGCTGAACACACAGCACTCAACTGACCAGAAGCAAACATACCATATTTAATAAAATTCCAGACTCTTGTGGTCGATGTCCATAAAAACGCTTTGTGGTATTGGATATATGGTTTGCAAAAGCAAGCAAATCCTCCACAGTTCCATATCTGACGGACGACAGCCAAGGGACCTCTTGGCCACTGAGCAACAGAGATTCAGAACGCTCCTCATTTTGGTTACTGTCCTGACACATAGTCATCAGACTGGGTTTGTAAACAGCTGGCTCTTGGCTTGCATACAGATTTTCCATAATGTCTATTACATCCGACACATTTAACTGCTGAATTAAGAGGTCAATTTCTTCTTTATTGTCGCTTCCGGTGCTCATGTACTCCATCACTGTTGCACTTTCTCGAGAGTCTGAAAGAAAACACAAAGACTCACTTTACCGTATTTGTATTTGTATTGGAGACCAGTGGAAACCAACGAAAGGGAGCTAGAAATAGGCTTCTACATGCCTTCGTTTATAAAACGAGGGCTCTGTGTCAACAGTGTGTGTGAATTCACGTTGACAGACAGTGCGGGGGTTGAAAGGGACCTTAGATAACCTTGGGCACAGCTCACTTTGCAGAGGGGAAACTTGAGACCCAGGGAGTGTACTAGTTACTCACAGAGTCAGGGCATCTGCTATAGCCACGGCAGACAAACTTCCACTAGACAGAAACACGAATAAAGGGCAGCAGCAGCTTTCAACCTCTCATAACCCAGCTGCCCCACCCCCACCCCAAGTAGCAACCTTCCTGCAAGATTCTCTAATGCAAGGCATTACTGTTTTATACC